TTTCTCCATGCACTCCGTATTTTCCTTTATTCGTTCCGACGGAGATTCGACGCGTCGATGTATTAATATCGATTCGAATAGTTTTCAACCGAGTCAGCCATTCTGAAAGGGGAGGGGACGCGCGAGGACACGTTATTTTCAATCTTTTTCTTTTCCTACTTCCCTTTCTCGCGTTAATCACCGCTCGTTCAATTTCAACGAATGCCGGGTAAACCGATGTCTTTCTTCTCCATGACGAAACGGGGGAGGGGGGGAAAAAAAGAGAAAGCTTACAAAAATGAAGCGAAGCGAAGAGGGAAAGGGGAAGAGGGGAATGAGGTTGGCGAAGAAAGGCTGCCTGATTTTCCGCGAAAATACCAAGTCAGCCGACTTGAGTATCGCGGCGCGCAAGCAAGGGGAGGGGGAGGAGGATAAAAAGTCCCTGACAAGGGCTTACATTGAAAGCGTACAACGGTCCTTGGAATTGGCGATTTATGCGATTCGCGAGAAAAACAAAAGGATATACTTTTTTTTCGCGATACGGACGAGAGCTCGTCGCCTGGACAACGAGGGAGGAAGGGGTGAGGAGAGAGGGGATTCGTGGGAGCTATAATCGGAACGAAGCAGCGGGGATTACGGATAAAAGACGCCACTGTCAGCAATAAAGAAGCAGCTGTATAATCCCGCGCGGACCGAAGGTATAATGTACTTACAATTAGGTATCCCGTCCCGTTGTATTTGCCCCGGGTCTCTTCATCGCCCCGCACGGCTCATCCCCCTCGGGCGAACAAATTTCTTTTCCCCTCACTTTTAGCAGGGGCTCGCCTGGCACTGTATATATGTATATGTATATATGTATATATATATACATATATATATATCCTTCCGCCNTATGCCTTTTATGCCTTAATCAGCAGCGGAGGCCCGGGGTTGAAGGGTCCTCCCCGACGCAATGGGCTGCCCACGAGGAACTTCCATCGCTTCCCTTATATACATACGACAAAGGAGCAGGACGCGAGCGGAAAGTAGACGAGGGAGAAGAGAGAGAAAGAGAGAGAAAAGAAGGAAGAAGTGCGGGTGATGGAGGGAGCTCTTCTCGGCCCAAGATGGGGGAAGGATATCGTCGGGTAAGAACTTTCTTGCCTCTCGTTAGGAAGCAACTCTACAAAATAAGTTGAGAGAGAAAAAGGAAGAAAGAGAGAGAGAAAAAAACAGAAAGGCCTGAGAAGATGGTAGAAAGACGAGCGTGGAAGATAGAGGGAGAGGAAAAGTGGAGGAAAAAAAATTCCTTCTTCTTCTCTCCTCTCTCTCTTTCTCTTTTCGCGGCAACCTCTCACCGGTGGTGCAGAGTCTACGTGGCAAGGGGGTTCGAATGAGGCGCGTCTGGGAAATCTGTTATTTTCTTCCCTCTTTACCACCGCCGCCCCTCTCGCTCTCCAAACNGCCGATTCTCTCTACCATCTATACGAGGGTGCCATCCCGAGCCGCAGGGGGTGAACGAACGAGGGGCGAAAGCCCTTTCGATTTAGGAACTCATTGAGAAGTCTGCCGCTGTTGCCACCCCGAAACGTCAACGTAACTTCCCTCCCTA